GCAAGTCTTTCATCAATGTGCCCACGGGCAAGTTACCTCATTTCAAAGGGACTAACTTTGCCAAGTGAAAGCACTTGATAAGAGCCTATCTTATAGGTCTTCATCCCGACATTTGGGAAGTTGTTCGTAATGGGTTTGAGCCACCGGTTGATCCCAAGAATCCAACAATGGAAGAAATGAGAATCATTCACCTCAACGGTCAAGCCACTAGTGTGCTACTTAGTGCTTTGGATGGTGATAAGTACAATAGAGTGATTGGTGTTGATGTTTCCAAGCAAATATAGGATACTTTGCACCTTACACATGAAGGGGTTGACAAAGTGAGAAAGGCAAGAATTGATTTGATGATGTCCAAGCTTAACCGGTTTGTTATCTTAGATGGAGAAGGACCACAAAATATGTTCGATAGATTGATGACTATGGTTGGCAAGATTAGAGCCTGTGGTTGTGATGAGCTAGATGATCATAAAGTTGTCAAGATTATGTTAGAGGCTTATTCACCAAGAAATAAGACCGTAGTGACTCTAATTAGAGACAAGAAGAAGTTTGAGTATTTTACACCAAATGATGTACTTGGGAGGATCTTGACCTTTGGCATGCAAAGAGAAGAAGCAAATGAGAGGAAGAAGCTTGGAGAGTTGCAAGCAAAGCTAGAAGGCATCAAGATCAAGGATGTTGCACACAAGGCCAACAAATCAATCAAGCAAGGCTCTACTAGCAAGTCCTAGATCAACAAGCAAGCTTCAACAAGCAAGCCCAAAGCAACTAAGCAAGTTCAAGAAAGAGTAGAGACTACATCATCCTCAAGTGAGAGTGAAAATGATGATGATCAATATGAGAAGGTTGATGATGTTGCTCTCTTTATGAAGAGGTTTCACAAAGGGCTAAAGAAGTAAGGCTACAAGGTGGTGAAAAGAAAATTTCTAAATAAGAAGAAAAGGACATGCTACAATTGTGGTAGCACCGACCACTTCATTGCCAAGTGCCCACATGAGATCAAAGACAACAAGTACAAGAAAGATAAGAATGAGGACAAGACCGACTGTAGAAAGAGCAAGAAATATATGGGAGAAGCTCACATTGGGCATGAATGGGATTCAACTATTGAGAACTCAAGTGAAGAAGATGACAAAGTTGCAACCGTAGCTATCCACAAGCCATCTTCTACACCAAGGCTCTTCAACAACATATCCGATGATGACTACTACTCCCCTCACATTTATCTTATGGCAAAGGGTGAGAAGGTAAAATCTAAATCCAAGGCCAAACCTTCACCTCCATCTCCTAGTGATATCTCTAGTAGTGATATTAGTGATAACTCTAGTGATGATGAATTTAGTGATGAAGAAATAAACATGATAACTAAAAAATTTAGATGGAAAGACCAAATTATTCATCACTAAGCTAATGGAGGATTTAGAGAGTGTCCAAGCCGAGCTAGAATCTAGAGAGGAAACTTGTCGGGTATCAGTATCAGGGATACCCAGAAGAAGAAAGCTAATGGCCGTAGAGCGGCACTACCGCACTTGAGCCGTGGCACTACCGTGACTTAAGTGACCGTTGGGGATAGTGGGATATTTATACCTTTCCCCTTCCTCCCCAACATCTCTACTACTCTCTCCAACCGTTCAGTTCATGAGAAAACAGAAAGGTGCTCATCTCTCTCCTCCATTGGTGACCTTGAGCTCCCAAGCTTCTCCATTGATTTCCCCATCAATCCTTGAGAGAAAAAGGTGCCAAACTCGATTAGAGAGCAGATCCACTGATTCTCAAACTCTAAAGAGCACTTGGTTCACGTTTTGACCAGCAGTTATGTTTGTTACTCTTAGAGCTTGGTCCTAGCCGGCTAGAGCGTCGCCCGTGGAGCTTGCCAACTTGTGTGACAGCCCCGGGAGGTTTGTAACCAACTCTTAAACCTAGTAAACTCACCCCTCATGTCAAGAGTTAGTCTCTTGATTTGAGAATGAGGAAGGGTTGGAAAGCCCTAAGCCTTAGTGGCTAACCTCAACAACGTGGACTTAGGCAAGCCTTAGTGGTGAGCTGAACCACAGAATAAATCATTGTGTCACCTTAAGTTTGATTTACTTCACTTGCATTTCATATTGTTGTTGAGGTGGTTTATAGGGTTTGTGGTTGATCTACTTGTGTGGTGTTCCTACCGCTTCTAGCTCTCGATCTATGAATTCCCTACCTGCAGGAAGCTAAGGAATTTCTCTGATCTAAGTTTCCATTCACTGATTTTGAACTGTGACTCGAAGTTGTCTACATGTGCGGTAGTGCCGTTGTTCTAGCCCGACAGTGCCGTTGTCCGGTAGTGCTGCGAGGTCAGAGATATAGTGCCGTGGGTGAAATTTGACATCTGCTTGAGTTTTGTTTTAACAAGCATATTCATCCCCCCTCTAGGCTAACCAGAGATCCTACAGGTGGGTTAAACCTCAAAACCACTGGGTGACGGTTTCGCGGGTTTGGCCTCAAAACCCGGGCGAAGATTCCGAAGTGGAACGGGGCAGCACGTGGTGGAATCACAGAGGTTGTGTGGTCGTCCGATCGACAGAAATCGGATTGGACCTAATGCCCTCAGGCTAGGTGGTTCACCCTAAAAATATCTAGGGGGCACTAGTGAAATTGTGTAATAGGCCTATAAATAAAATGGGGCTGCCTCACTCAGCCTCACCTCTTGGACATTTTTATTTCTTCCTTTAGTTCCCCCTCCTAGGGTTTGTTCTTGAGGTCCACAAATTCCAAATTTGTATAAACAGTTGTGAAATTCGAGTTGGGAAGTGAAGCCCTAACCTCACCGTGCCCTCCGGGATTTGAAATCATGGTGTTGTGATTTTGTTTATCGCGTTTTGGTGTCTGTTCTTCGTTTTCCCGTTCTTCCCAAATCATGCAGCCCCGGAGTTTGGATTGATTTCAGACGACGCTCTTTTGGGGATAGGATCGTTCCTAGTTAAATTGTAGGTAATGCTAGGAAGGGCTTTCACCCAGATTTCAAGCGCCCACAGAGACCCGACATCTGCACACCACTGTCATAGCCACCACAACACTACCGCGATGCACGGTGCACGCTACTGCCTCCATAGCCAAGAGTGGCGGCCGCTGCCGCGGCCACCAACCACGTACAGCCACACTCTGGGAGGAGCAGCAGCGATACGATTGTGACTATCTTGATATCCTGCCAAGATTGAATCAATCATCACACGCATTCAGTAACACGCACCGCTCCTGTGTACGATCTAAAAAAAAGATGTATATCCTTGGATGGCACACTGATGAGTAATGCCATTGGCCACTAATAACTTAAGGATTAGCCCTAGTTGAATTCATTAGTTAATCAAGGTATGATTTCGTTGATTATAATAAACTCGACTGCGCTCTTTTCAATTGGTAAGGATTGCACACACGTACTTTTTATTTTACTCCTATAATAGACCACGAGCTATATGTACAGAAGAATTATTTTAAGCGAGTCCATAAGAAATGACCCATTTTTCATCGGTTCCAAGAGAAGACCAAATATCTTATGTGACCGAACTACCATAAAAAATAGAATTAGAAATAAGTCTTGTTAATCTCTTTACGGCTGGTTCTAGCCTTAGCTCTAAGTACCATGTGACCACGCAGACTAAGCGGCTTCCTAAAATGACTACCTCTTTATATATTGTCATACTTGAGTAACGGCTAAATTCACATGTATTGATTCTTCCATTATTTGCAACCAATGACATTACTCGTCACTAGACCGACCTAAAACGGTATACATCGTTGTCCCTTCTACTGTACTAGAGATATAGGTTTTCTTCTCAATAGTCAATACTTGCATGTGAAGTTGTGAACACTGTGGTTGAACCTAGCAGATCTAAACTGAATTAGAAAAAAATGATAATTGCCCATATACCTAACATTTTGGACCTCGATGACGCTGTTTTGTAATATTAGGGATGCGCTTATACAATACTCTGTCCATCCTACTAAAATAAATTAGTTCCTGAAATCAACTGAAATCACACAAAGTCAAACTATCTTAACTGTGACCAATTTTAAAGAAATAATAATAATAATAATAATAATAATAATAATAATAATAATAATAATATCTATAGCATTAAATCAGGATATTATACAAATATATTTTATGGTGTATCTATAATGATACTAATCCGATATGGTCTTTACCTAGGTTCATTGACCTGGCTAGATACACCTATTAACAAGTTTAGAAATGTGCTTATATGCCATCTAAAAGTTTATGGACCTAGATGATACTAAATAAAAATTTTAGAAATGTGCGTGTGCGATCTGTTTGGATTTTTTTTTTTTAGAATGTTATGTTCATGAATCTAAATGACACATTACCAAGTTTGGGTATGGGCTTGTGCCATCTGTGTGCCCCATGCCCAGGGACTGATTGGGAGTAGATCTTTTTTTCAGGGGATGATGGGGAGTAGATGGCACTAAATACAAGCCGGGTGAAATGATTTGGCCCAAACCAGAGGGGAAATGCAGTTATCCCTTTTGTCGGTGAGGGCCAAATTTGAGTATGGGCCTGGGCCTAGGCCCTCGCCGGCTTCACCTTACGCCTCCGTCGGCTGCCTGGCCGAGTTGCTCTGAACTGTGCGGCACGTCACACGACACGACATAGGCGCACAAATATCCAACCCAGTTGGGTGGGGCCCGCGCTCCCGACGTGCCTGCCGGACCATGGTACACGCCACCGGTGGTTCCACACGCCAAGTCAGTAAACCGAGAGATGTACACGCTCCCGGCGCTAAAATCCAGCGTCCAAGTCCGAATCAACCGCCGTGATCTGACCAGCCACCTCTGTTTCTGCTCTGTTCACCAAACGCCCGCCACTTCCATGGCCATGGGAACGCCTATTTACGTGGCTCCCGCGAGCACGAACGAGCCCACCGTCGATCACGAGCCGTCTGTCTCGTCTGCCGCCCGCCGAGCGCCGAGCGACGAGCACCAATCCAGAAGCTCTCTGGAGTCGAGCGAGCATGGCGGTCTCCTCCATCAGCTGCTCCCTCAGACCTCCAGCTCCCGTCAGAGAAGCTTCCGCTCGCCTGACGCAGCTGTCGCCGCCGTCGACGACGCCGTGGTAAGTTGCTACCTCTCGCTCAAGGTCGGTTGCGTTTTGTCATGTCCAGCTAGCCCGGCGGCAATGGCCAGACATCGCTCAAGATCCGTCGCTGTGATCGTTATTTGCAGGGCGGACGGGCTACGGCGGGCGTGCGTGGCGGCCGCGGCGTCGTGCGTCGTGATCGGGGCGGCCAGCGGCGGCGACGTGGCGTCGTCGTCGATGCCACGCGACACCGCCGTTCTGGCTGTGGACGCGCGGCCGGCGGCGGCCCCGCGGTGGAGCGACCGCAGGGAGTGCCCGCCGTGGCGCGCCAACTCGCTGGAGAACATCGTGCCGGAGAACCTGCCCCGCCCGTCGGCGCGCCGGAGGTTCAACAGCGTCAAGCGGGCGCCGCGGAAGGCCCCCGCGCTCGGGCCTCAAGCGGTGGCGCCGTTCCTGGCGCTGCCATACGGCGTGGACGACTGCTTCACCCTCTAGGCAAGTTAGGCAGGTAGTACTGGCTGACCATCCTGCACTGCAGCTGAATTTGTTGTATTTGTTTTGTATACCCAACGAGAAGTTCGAAGTGAACGAAAACAATAGGATTCTTATTTGTATATATATTATTGTAGATTTCACAGGGGATCATGTTATTCGATACAGTGGGAGATAGAATATACAGCTACGAGCATGTGATTCTTGTGTTGTAGTAGTATTTCCTTCGGTCTTTTTGCTCGCGTATTGTCACTGTCACGTCCAAAGGCCTGACAGCAACGCCAAAGCCATAGAAAGGCCAAACTTCATGTACTAGTAGCACGTACGTGGAAGGCCGACCAGTTGACACACCATTTGCGGCCTCGCCGGCGTGCCGAGTGGCGCCGGGAAGGTTTGCCACCGCCCACCGCTTGGGCGGCGGCCGGCCGCGGCTCATCGGCTGCGGCAGCGCAGGCAGGGAAGGGTTAGATAAATGGGCCTGACGGCTGCCGCAAAATTACTTGGGCCCTACCTAGGTACCGTATCCTGGGCCTAACCGATCTTACTGCGATGAGGTTTAGGCCCCCTAAGTGAGATGACTGGGACAGTCGAGAAGAGACCATTTTCTAAATAAAAAAAGTCGAAAGAGACCAGGACTAGCATTCATCACAACTGAATTCATTAACTGGAGGGCTGACACTGACTCAAGTTCGTAACCCATGAATGTGATGATCTTGTGATCCAAATCTTGGATTGCCGTCCAAACTCACATGTCAAAGAAAATTCATGTGATCCAAATTCAGTGAGCTGGTTGGCAAATTCATGTTTACTCCAAACTCACGATCAGTCGATTAGGCCAGCCACATGGACCCACGGTCGGTCCTGTTCATTTCGCTGAAAAAACAAAGTCGAAACACTGTTTCGACTTATTTGTTAGGAGAGAAAAACATTGTTTCGATTGAAAAAATAAGCTGAAAATATGGATTATAACACTTTTTAAAGTTCAAACAACATTTTGGATGCTTTCGGAACGAGCGTGACGACGTGAACCAACCAACTACCTACTGCTGTCAAAGAAAAGCCCACAGCATTAGCAGAACTGCGCACGCTACTGTGCACAAATATCTAACCAAGCGGGCCCCGCGCTCCCGACGTTCCCGCCTTCCCGGCTTCCCGTCTGCGGCAGCATGATACACGCAACCGCAGCAAGCGAAATGTATTACCGCCGCTACAATCCGTCGTCCAAGTAGGAATCGACGGCTCTGATCTGGACACGAAACAGCTCTCGGCCATGAGGAGCCACTATAATAACTTCCGTGTCCAAACCAGCCAGTCCACCAGTACCATCGAAACTTCTCAACAATGGCGGCTTCCTCCACCGCCGCCATCATCGTCAGCTGCTCCTTCCCCGCTCCGCCCAAACAAGGCGCTGCTGCAGGCGTGTCGGTGTCGTCGTCGCACGCGCTGCGCCGGGTGTGCGTGGCAGCCGCGGCGTGCACCGTGATCGGGATGGCGGGCGGCCGCGGCGACATGGCCCTGGCGCTGGCACGGGGCGGCGGCGCGGTCGCCGTGCCCGTGGACGTGGCCCTGGGCGCCGCCCGAGCCAAGGCGCCGCCGCCGCGGTGGAGCGACCGCAGGCAGTGCCCGCCGTGGCGCGCCAACTCGCTGGAGAACATCGTGCCGGAGAACCTGCCCCGCCCGTCGGCGCCCAGGAGGTTCGACAGCGTCTCGGCCTCGGCGGCCGCGCCGGACTTGGCGGCGCCGCCTTCTTTCCTGGGGCAGCTTCCCGGCACGGGCTGCTTCTCTCTCTGACGCAGCCGGCAACTGTGGAAAAAGGAAGTTAACAGAAAAAAGAAAAGCTGTGAACATTGGAAAACACACTTGTGTTCTATTTTTTTTTGTTAGGTAAAGACTTGTATTTTGTATACTATAGGTTTTAGCAGAAATCAACTTTGCCTCAGTAGCTCAACAATATTTACTATGGGCGGAATTGAAATATTTGGGGCATGCTTGTATGAATCAATGTGAATTTGCAATAAGCCCATGCAGTTCTTTTTTTTTCTAGCTTGCAAAAATGTGCAAATCCTGCAATAATCGATCAACGCCGATGACCAAGGCGAATTTGAAAAGGCCTGTGATGATCTAGAGGACCGCGGTCGCTTTCGCGGAAAAGCAGAAAAGCGTGGCAGGCACAGTGAGTGCACGAAAACGAAAAGGAGAATTGATCGAGCCAGTTTCAGAGAACAAAAATTTGCTCGGAATTTTCTTACAAAAGCCGCCCCAGGCTCGTTTCGTTTTCACGTACGTGGCGCGAGAGCCAGGGGGCGTGGGGCCGGGCACGTACGAGCTGTTGTGCCGTGCCGTTGCCTCTGAACTGATCTCAGTGGTAGTACAAGTGTACAGCGAGCTTCGAGTGAAGTACAGGGCCGAAACAGCCTGACACGTCTTTATGTAGTACGACAGTGACCGTTTTCTGCGTGTTTTGTGCAAGTCTCGTAGTCGTAGCACAACATCCAAAAGAGGAAGCAACACCAAGAAAGCTTGGGGCATGCTGGATGGGCAGGCGGCAAGCACGCCGCTCACCTCACCTTGCTTGGTAAGGCGAGGCGTTTCGTAGCATCCAACAAGCTAGCTTTGCCGGGTAAACCCATGCACCTGAGCAAGTTTTGCCTTACCTACGCAAGAGAGCCACCAGCAAGGTTCGTTTGCTCACACGTTGCTCTGATTATTAGTCGTGACTTCCCCACTAAATGTCTAAATTGAAGCTCATCCCTGTCAAATGGTGCTTCTCCTCCACCAAATTGAGGTTTCCAAACGGTTCAAAACTGTTCTACACCCAAATTGATCTTGTGGACATCCAAATCAAGCTTCTGCTAAGCTGAATCAAACTTTTCCCTACCCAAACTACGCTTGTTGACTTCTAAATCGAGTTTCTCATAGCCTGAATCATCCTCTCTTGAACTCCTTCATGGCAACCTTGTCCATTGGAGGGAGAATAGAGGAAAGAGGGGAGGAAACAAAACCAGACCGAAAGAGGAACTTGCCTTGCTTTGCTTGACGTGGCGGCGACGGTACCAAGTGCACCTTGAGAAATCAGAATCATCGTGCCTCAGCCACATTCTGGTGTGAAGCTATGTATGCAGCTATGGGTGCGGCCGCACTCACACCAAAATAAGAAAAAGTGATTATACATTTAAAATTTTCAGTATACGTATCCACAAAGTAAATATGTAAGCTTAGCCTCTTCGATCGAATCCTACAAAATCCAAAGGGAACACCTTTGAACTCCGGGATTTAGCAGATTTGCGATTTTTTTGTTTTTTTGTTTTGTTTTGTAGAATCTCGAATTTTATGTTCCACCTTGCTATTCGCAAATGACGTCATCATCCTCGGTCGCCTGATTGGGAGAAGGCAAAGTAGGCCTTTGACAAGAAGCTCAGGCTCACGATCCGCGCGGGATCCCGCATCTTCGGCCGGCCCAACTGCCGCCAAAATCTGCAGTCGGCCCAGAAGTGATTTCGTTAGCGAAAACTCGGAGCCCAGTCAAATCCGGACCCCACGGGCGCTGCATTTGCCGCGGACCGTGGACGGCAGCTCTAGTCAGTTCGTCCGCCGACACGGACGTTCCTTCACGAGCTGAGCGAAGCGGTGCAGTTTTGGCTGCTGCAGAGATCATATTCAGTATGTTCGCTGGTTGGATTCAGCCAGGGCTCATCAGTCAACCAATAATATTTTTCTCTTACAATAAACTAGTACTGGTCGGACTTATCAGCCTAAAAACAACCAGTCCGATTATCTCCCCAGCTCCCTCGGGGCATCGACAAGGACCTCGACCCGCCGAGCAGGACCATTTCAATGCGGGCGACTCCAACAGTCAACGTCCATCTAGCGCAGCGCCCGCCGCTCATCGATGCGCCGGCAAGAAAGAATTCAAGCCTAGAGATCACACCACGTGAACACATATTGACCTGGCACCTCCATTTCCAGCCACTGATCAGCTGAGCTGCTTTAGCCCTCGATCCGTAGCATCGTCGCTGGCAGTAGCATCCAATTAGTAGTATATAAACATCCATTCGCCAGCAGCGTGCTGCACACCCACACCTCGCCGCGGCACTAGTTCCCATCGTCGCCCGTCGAACCGGCAGGAGCTAGCGGTCCTTGGTGCCCCCCTGCACGCAGACCATGGCCAGCCTCGTGTCGCGGCCGCGCCACAGCATCCAGATGCACTGGGCGCGGAGGAGTTACCAGCGCCTGGGCTCGCCGTCGCGGTGCCTCAAGGTGGCCCGCCTGGGCGGCGGCAGGTCGGCGGGCTCCTCTGCCGCCGCCGCGTCGTCGTCGTGGAAGGGCATCCGGTTGGCGCGCCGCGCCGCGGCGTTGCTGGCGGCGCCGGCGCTCCTGCTCGCGAGGCTCCGGGACGCGTACGTCGACGCGATGGTGGCGCTGGGCGGGTCCGGCGTGCGGCCCTGCGCCGCGCTGGCCAGGTCGCACAGCGGCGCCGAGGCCGGGCTGTGGGACAAGCGGGTGCCGCGGGCGCGCCGGGGGAGCGGGAGCAAGCGCGGCAGCGGCGACTTCGAGCGCCGGATGATGGCGCACATATACAGCATGGTCGTCACGCCGGAGCTCCCGTGCGCCGCCAGGGCCTGATGACATGCATGGACGACCGAGCCGAGTCGCGCCAGTCTCAGGGCATGTTTGGTCGGAGGCACGGGCATCTTGCCGGACAAAAACTGATACTGAAAGTTACATGGAAAGTTGATATTTTTTCCTGACCAGATAAGTATAAAGAAGATGTATTTGATTGGTGCCATAGACATGAGAAGCTATATGATGATTAAATAATATTATGATAATATAATGTTAACACTTATGATTAAATAATATAAGAATAAATAAAATTTTTAAATAAGAAATAAGATATATAAATAATTATAATCTAGATTGCAAAATAAACTTTAATTTGATGAACAATAAAAATCTTTTCCACGCGTTGGTGAACAGTAATATGTTATACTTTTTTGCAGCAG